ACGTGAGGCCAGGTCAGTAATCTGTTAATCTGTAAAATGTTTTCTTGCCAATTCCCATTTTACAGATAGGAAGACCACCTTAAAGAAGTTAGGTGATTCATTCATGGCCACAGATCCAATAAATAGCAGCTCCGGGTTCAAGCCTAGCCTTCTGATCCTGGTTTAAAGTGGCAACCACAGTACCAGCAGTTCTCACCCTTCTGTTTGGCACACGAGTTTGCGTGCATGGTAGACACACATTAACATTTGCCTCTATGTAGTTCTCAAGCAAGAAAGCAGATCTGAAGGCAAGTGAATTAGCAAATGGGGTTATTATATAGGCAACCATGATTCCCCCCTAGATCATTTAAAAAAAAGAAATATTTGCAAATTTATTCACCTAACTCCTATTAGTGACAAATCTCTCTAAGCCACAGCTGGGTTCTGAGCTTACACCCAGCTCTAAGCTATTAATATTCTCCCTCAGCCTCCATATTGTGATGAGGCACAGGGGAAGGTTTTTTAGATTTATTTATTTATTTGAAAGGCAGAGTTATGGAGAAGGAAAGGCACACACACACACACACACACAGTCTTCCATCCACTGCTTCAATTCCCAAATGGCTGCAACAACCAGGGCTGGGCCAGGGAAAACCCAGGAGCCAAGAGCTTCATCAGGTCTCTCACAGGGGTGCAGGGGCCCAAGCACTTAGATCATCTTCCACTGCTTTTCCAGGCACATTAGCAAGGAGCTGAATTGGAAGTGGAGCAGCTGGGACATGAACCGGTACCCATATGGGATGCCAGTGTTGCAGGCAGCAGCTTAACTTTACACCACAACGCCAGCCCCAAGGATTTTTTTTTAACACTCCTAACTCTGAGTGAGACTCCGTTCCATCCTCCCAAGGAGGGCATGATGGGAACTCTCCCTTGTGCTCATTTCTGAAGTGACTAAGGAGTCTGCAGGGTGTGTATGTGGGTGGTTAAGAAGAATGGCTGAAGACTTGATGAGCTGCATCTGTATAACCCTCTCAGGTTATAAATTTCCAGGTGACTCTATCTGAAAGTTAAGTTTTGTTGGCCAAACCTCCTATACCATGAAGTTCCCTCCTCTTCTTTTTTTATTGTCCAACAGTCCCTTCCTCTTTCATTCTCTCTCCCTCGATCTCTCTCGCTCTTTTCCATCATTATCCCTCCCTCCCCCTCTCCTCTCATCAACTGTCCTTTGAATTCTACAGTTAGAGGGTTTTGTGGTCCTCACCCAAGCGAATGTACCCACAGGCCAATGGATACATAAAATATAATAATATTTCATGGCAGATGAGAGTGTAGAAGCCATGACTGCAGATGTAGGATGACAGCCACATAGCCCTGTCCTTCATCCTCAAATAGGGCTGCTCTTCCCAAAGAATTATTCTCAGAGACATTCTCTTTTCTACAGACAAGGCCATGGAGAGATTGAGGAGAAGTTCACTGGGTTCTGATAATGGAACAATTTAGGAAAACACCAGATAGGCCTCTTTACATATACCCTGGGGGCTTTGTGGCAAGCTCCTTGCAGGAAACCAACAACAGAGGCATAGCAATGGAATCCTGTCTGTGCAGGGTTCAAAGGCTGCAGGCATGTGCTGTCCCAGATAGCACAAAGTAGGAGTGGGTTGGTGAGAACACAAGAGGCTAAGGAGGCAGACTCATAGAATGGCGGATGTCCTAAATAGCACTCTGGCCTCGGAATCAGCCCTAAAGGCACTCGGATCTGGCTGAAAAGCCCATGAGAGTATTTCAGGCATGGAAAGCCAAGGCACTCTGGCAAAAAGATCTCTGTGAGTGAGATCCCAGTGGAAAGAACAGGTCTTCAAAGAGGGAGGTGCCTTTCTCTGAAGGGAGGAGAGAACCTCCACTTTGACTATGACCTTGTCTAAACAAGATAAGAGTTGGAGAACTCAAGGGGCTTCCATAGCCTTGGAAACTCATGACTGGTGCATAGGGAGAGTTACGGATGCCATAAACAGGAGTGTCAATTTGTAAAGTCAACAA